TAATCTGAAGGCTGGCACTTGGCTTTGCAATGTGGTATAAGAGTTTTTAAAATTAATTCTCCTGAAAATGAAAATCTTTTCAACATTTTAAAAGTCAAGTGGGGCCTGATGGCCACCAAGGTGACCCCAGGCCTAGTACTGATGTTATGCTTTGATTTTTAAAAAGAACATAAATGAAAGAGGTTAGTATAAGAAAGGAGGAATTAGTCAATAGCACACAGAATGAAGAACAGACTAAAAGCACCTGGATAATACACAACCACTGGGTGTCTGCAGGGAGGTAAAAAATGTCACAGTGGTGGCCACAATCACACAACCAAGATAGTAAAGGGGTGAGGGTTCAATTGCACAGCCATGCCCACCATCTTGACTTTTTTGACTTCTGATAGAACTGGACTTCTGGTTCTTCTGCACCCTCAGTGCAGAGAGAACTGCATCTGACAAAGTGACTGCTAGTGCTGCCTTGAGTTACCGTTACAGAACAAAAGAGCCAAGATGGGTTTCTTCCTCCCCGAGAAAATCTGTGGACAGCAGCCAGTTTTGGACTGCACAAACAGACGAGACCAGCTTTTCCTCGCCTCCCTTGAATCGCCAATTCGGCCGCCAGCTACCTTTTCCTGCTGTGGTTTGAAAATAGCCTTTTCCTTTTATGTCGCTTCAAGTGCTCTTGTCCATGTGGGGCTGGAGCGCTTCACTTCCTTGCAGGCTAACTCCAGCCGCTCATTGGCTACTTCTCAAAGGCAGGATCTCTATCTCCATTGAGGCAGTGCTTGACCTGATCCAAGATCTTCTAAGACAGTGTTTCTAACTCTCAGCAACTTGAAGATGTGTAGGCTTCAGCTCCCAGAATTCCCCAAGCAGCCATGCTGAGATTGAGAAACCCTATTCTAAGAGAACACTGCTTGCTCTTGGCATTAAAGTAGCACAGTGGCCCAAGAGTTTTATCTAATGTTTATAGGAGTTGCTGGTTCAAAACTCAGCTCTGTTTTATTAAAAGTACTAATTATTTTTATTTAAAATACATATATGGCTGTCCATATGGGCACTTCACATCAACCCTAAAAACAAAATAATAATAGTAATAACAATAACACAAGCAAAAACTTGGGGTCTCAGCTGTTCTCCTCAGATACAACCAACATTACCATCTTCATTTCTGTTATCTAGCTAGCTTTCCTTAGCAACCTGAGGGCTTTTAAAAAAAAAAGTAAGTGTAGGGTCCACCCTTTCGTTATTCTTTCAGATAAAACAGTAGAACCCTGCACTTTTTTTTAAAATCTCTTCACTAGCCAGATGAAATGTGTGTGTGTGCATATTAAAAGTACATGTCAGGGTTTGAACTAACTACCTCATATATATAAAGCAAAGCTTTTAATCATCATACTATTCTAATCCTGATGAGAAAAAGGAAGGTCTAGAAGTTATTAGGGTACACAAGAGTTGATAAGAAAGGCATGTTTAAAGTTGTTTGTTGTGTGTGCAAGCATCTAAGTATATATTGCTGCTTTAATTTTGTATATATAAATTTAACTTTATTTTGCATAGATTTTACACTCACATAAAAGCATGTAGGTGCACTAAGACCCATCCACAGGAATGAAAGCAATCGACTGTTACTTCCTTAGCAGAGGAACTGTCTGATGGGAGGATGTGGTAGCCTGCGCTCTGAATGCCTTACAAGTTGTTGCAAGTCTGGACATGTTTTCCTTCAGCTGGTTTAGTTACTGTGAGCACAAAACAACTTAGGTGTGCTAAGTACTGAAATGTATATTAACCCTTTGCTGTCAGGCCACCCTTCAACCCACTGAGAAATATGTCTCTAGGGGAAAATGTCATGGTGGTAGCAAAAAGGTTAAGGGGAAGTATGTATCCTTACCATACTTCTTAGATATGGTGATGGTACAGCAGTTGTTACATTGCAGAATTTATTTTGAAACAATTAGGACTGAACCTGAGTAAGAGGATGGATTTGGCTTCATGAATTTTCATCTTAAATGCTGCTGCTGCTACATAATTCGTGGTACCAAAAAGCCATCTAGTTACCTCAGCCCATAGAAGGCCTCTCTTTCTAAGCATTTGCTCCTTCTTTCAATTCAAGCTCAAAGAATTATATGCATGGTGTGGCACAGTTGTCATACTTCTTGCATAGCCAAGAGATTAAAATAAGAGTTTATGACCCGTCAGTTCTGTTGAGATAGGTATGAGGATCCTTCCCTCAGCAATAGTGGGCCTAAGCCTGGCAGGCAGCTATCAGCCACAGTTTTGGGGTCTAGCTCTGAAAAGCACTAATGGCATACTTTGTTTTACATTGCTAAAAATTACCCTTGGCCATCTGATTATCTAGGGGTTTTCCCCTTTCAATCTACAAGATGTTAGTCAGATTTGATAGTCCTTTGTCCTGAGATAATTTGAAATTTTAGCATCTTCCCAAAATAATCACTATATAAGCTTACGGAGCTTATTTAGATAGATTTTGTGGGAGTAGTGCTAGTGCTTTAAGAATTTGTTAGTGATCATGCGGTCAGAGAACTGACTAAAATTGGTTTGCAGACCACTAGTTGCTATGCGTATGACTATTCTGTGGAAATAGTAGTTAAATCAACGAGCCAGTTCTTAGCCTTAGACCTCTCTTTTATCAAGACAGTACAAGAACAGTATGTGGATACAGAAGTGGGGTACAAAAATGAAAGGGAACATCTGAAGATTCATTAAGAACTGCAGGTGCCCAGTAATGCTACTGAGTCCTGGGCAAAATTAAGCAGTTTTGATATTTATATGCATGGGTTATGCATCCAAAGATCTCTTCTTCCACATAGCTATAACTGTTTTTTTTAATGGAATGCCACTGACAAAAAAGAAATATGGGGACTGCCTTACCGAATGCTGCATACAAAAGAATGGAGACATTTGAGAAACCTCATAAAGAAGTTTGAAAAGAGGGTAAATCATTTTAAGAATTCCTGTCTTAAAGTTGTTGAGCTGGACTATAATTTTGGCCAATTTGCTTTGAGACAGAAATTCTTCAGATGATTGAATCCTTGGGAATCAGGGGCAAGTAGGGCTTGTACAACTCCTCTTTCACTTCCCACATGCAGCGTGTGTGCTCATTTCACAGACTGTTGAAGTGGAGACTTTTTCAATACCAGGCTGTACTACATAGAATACATCTTAAATTGAAAAAAAACGACTTTTGAAGGATGATTTGACCTTGCACAAAGCACCACAGACATGTAAGACAGCTTAGGTTACTCTGCAAAATCTTCACGTAAAGAAGAAGAAAAAAACCCCTGAAGCTGCCACTTTAGATCAGGTGTACCAAATGGCATGGTATAGCTGAGGAAGCATGCAGGGGAAGATTTTTTTCAATTCTCTCCCTTAGGACAGCCAGCAGACTCTGGAGCATTAAGCTACCCAAGACATGGCATCCTTCATCAGAATAAATATCCTGCACTTAATGACACAATGCTTAATGTAATAATTTTGTTAGTCCACATTCAGAAGCAGCTTGTATTTTAGGGAAGGTTAAATAAGCCAAGCAATGATATAGATGCTGATTGTAAATTGTGCAGAAGCCTCATGTGGGAACTATGGATGCTAAGCTAAAGTACAAATAGACGATTTCATCAGAAATTAATGGCAATATAATTACTTTTAAAAGGGGCACAGGTGAATGAACTCCTGAATTTATGGACAAGCATGTTAGCCAGTAGAGAAGCTGAAGGGCAAAAGTGTTAGATTGTGAGTTTACAATGGCCAAGTGCTTCCTATTAAAGATGTTTGGTAGCTGAGAAGTCAATGCACCTAAAAGCAAGGGTGAATAAAATGAAACAAATTAAGAACAAATCCATTAGCCACATATCCAAAATTTTAGCATTCTTATTTCACATATACATCACTTTCTGGATAGCCAATCAAGCCATTTTATATTAATATTTGGAAGGGAGCAGACCTGTTATTTATATTAAAGACTGCAATTAAAAAGAGGTAAGGTAAGGAATGGAATGAACTAGGGATTCTGGACATGAGAAAAATAGTTGGGCTAGGAATGCATAAAAATGTTTTGTACCTGGAATATTCTAAGCAGAGTTCAGGGAGCATTGGGCAGGACCAACCCACATGAGGTACTGGTATTTTCAGAGACTAAAATGTTTATATTTAGATTAGTGGACATTTAAGAGAACAGCCTTTTACCATTTCAGAAGCCTGAGCGAAAGACTGAAAAAGTCCCTGCTTCAACAGTCTGGGAAATAAGTTCTAAGTGAAAACTATCCAACTGCTGAAATTTCTATAACCATTTCTTTCAAGAATGGTTCTTGCGCACTGCAGCAAAAAGGTTGGGTAGATGGGTGGACAGACCACACTTGAATTCAAATGCACTGGTGGCTATGGGGCGTAAGGCCCTGGCAAGATTGATATGAAGATTGTCACATAAGCTATATGTGGGAAGTAAGCCCTACTTGCCCCCAATTCTCAAGGCTTTGTGTTGGCCAAAACCTGGAACTACCTAAATTATCTGGATTTTGTTTTGACAGTATCATGACCTTTCCAGCATAGTTCAGCCACTTTCAAACCATGCTTGGTCTGCACACAGAACAAAGCACCCATTTCCACTTTGGATATATGTCCTTCAATAGGACTGTGGATCATGCATCCAACTGCTAACCCAACAGCTTCCAGACTTGCCTTCTATTACAAAACAGCAAGACATCAGAATGAAACTCTGTATAAATTGTGCAACAGGGCTAGTGCTAAACAAGCAAAACACTGGCCTCGTAAAAATTCAAGTGTGTATGTTCTGAGAAACTGAATAGCTAATGTTTTCCATCCTAGTATCAGTTACTATAGTGTGGAAGGATGAGCTAACATTAGCACTGATTCCAAAAAGAACACTGCCTAATCTATGCTACTCCAGCAGACACCTTAGCCTCCAACTGGATCATTGTAAAAAGCAATATTGTTTAAGTATATTTTTAATAATAAAATACATAAGTACAATAACATCAGCATTAAAAAATTTATTGAATACAAATCAGAGCAGTTAAAATTTAAATTCCTAATCCTTTAATATTTTAAACAATTTCAAAGTAAAATAACTTGAAATGGTATTTACAGAATATTTGCATCAGAAATTATCAATGCCAAGGGTTAAGTGGAAGTGAATGTTGAAGCATACTTTGTTAACTTCAGTTTCAGACAAATCTATTTTCTTATTCTTTTGCTTGCTCTTGTCCTGCCTTCTGTTTCTCCAGGCAGTTTGGTCACCAGGGTGGTATTCTCTTCTTTCATTTTCTTTTTTCCTCTTGTTTGCACCGTTACACTTCCAGTGTTTTCTATGGAAAAACAAAATGAGTATATGATAACAATTTTTACAAGTATTCTTCCTAGAGTAAGTAAATTGTTTCTAACATTTCTGTATCTATTTGTTCTCAGATTTATTACTACTTTACACAGAACTTTGAAATATTCCAATAGGACTAAAATCAATTAAAATGCAAGAGAACCTTCAGCACCGTTTATTTTTAAGAGACTCTGAAGGGTGGGGTGCTATTATTTCTATAAAACCCCAGTAAATATAATAGGATCCAAAAAGTACAGAACAGAATAAACGTGGCTAAATAATTAATTTTATATTTTCCCATACAGACTATGTGGTAGCATTCACCAACCTGATATCTTTTAAATATATTGGGGCTACAGTACCAAGAATTTTGAGAACTGCAATCACATCTGAAAAGCATTAGGCTGAAAAAGAACATTATTTGGGAGGGTTAAAATAACATTGCATTTCTGGGCAGGACAACTAATCTGGCCTATTACTGTGAACAACAACAACAACAACACTTTCTTCAGTAGCCAATAGAATTAAGAGTTGAGGAAGATATATTGCATATGTACATGCAAATAAAGGACTATTATCAAAAGATCTCTTTCAGGATCTTTCCAAAGGAAGAAAGCTCCTGCAGCTAAGGGGGAGTTGGAATTTCTAACTTGCATCTCCATAGCCGAGAAGAAAAAAAACCCCTCTGAGTGTGTGCTGATCTGGACTGACTTCTTGAGTTCTCAGGGTCACACTCTGTGTATACTCTTCTGGTTTACTGATATTGAGGTCCCAGAATGAGTTTTAAAATGCAAAACCTGCATATTGGTTTGGGCTGGTTTGTGGAACTTTTAGGGTGTGCTGTTTGTGAACTGTTGTGCTCTGCTGATGTTAAGATTCCAGAATGCACCTTAAAATGCCAGTACTGAAAATCCCATCCAGCTTCTATTCTTCTATTTGACGGCTATAAACTTCTGTGTATGTGCACGTGCACACAGGATTCTTACTTTTATCAGGTTTTTCAACATGCATTTAAATTTTGCTACACTATTCAAATAGTAGGAACTAGAGGATTTTTTAAAAAATAAAAACAGTGTAGGAATACCTATTTCTGTTAAACACTATCAAGCCTTACATCTCTACAAAGTATACTGAGCTAGCTCTATATATGATAACAACTGCCAGGGCACTTTATGCCTTTTCCTGGAAATCACACATTATTCCTTCTTTAGAAGAATGGCAAACTAAGCTGTGGAAGTGTGCAATATAATAGATTCTGTAGTATTTTTCCCCCAACCCAGTGCTTTCCATTGAAGTTTTCCAAAAAAAATATTTCCAACCACTGCTTTCACCAATCTTTTGGCAAGTCTGTAGTAACGTATTACTGCGACCAATTCCTGTGCCTCTTGGATTTCCAGGAAGGAAACAAGCAGCTCTTCCAGGTTCCCACTTTTCCTATGGCTGGAACACTCGAAACTTTCCCTTTTTAAATTCTGATAGAACATAGAAGCACTTCCAAGTTTTTCTCTGTTGACCACAACCATTAACTAAAACAAAACAATCTGAAATGTTTTGAGTGCAGTACCTGTTCTGAGTCTGAAATAATACTTTTTTTTTTCTTTAGTGCAGATTCTTAACCGTAATCTCTTAACTGCTATTGTAGTATTCCACTAACTATAGAATTGCTAGTGATCAGGGAGGTTAGAAATATAACACAATGAGTTCATTCTTGCAAACCCTACGTTCAAAAACTGTTCTGTAAGGTTTCCAACATTTATGAATAGAATTTGGGAGCAGAGAGGCAAGATCAAGAGAAAATCTGCGCTTTACTGGATTTCTCTTTAATTCTAACCCTAACATATTCTTTAAGAATAAAGCTTACTAGTTTAAGAGATAAAAGATATCAACATACCTGCTTTAGATATTGTTGATTTATTTTCTGGAAATACATTTTTCATTGTGTCAGGAGAGACATTTGTTTCTGAATTGCTGTTAATTTTTCTTTTGCCCCGTTTTGATGAACTCTTTTGCACCAGCATATTTGAGTGCTCCACATTTTTATTTTGGTCATAATTAGATGAATTACCTTGATTGGTGTTTTGGGTCATGGTTTTCATTTTAAGAATGTTCTGTCCCTTGCCCATTAAAGAAACTTTTTTATTAGAAACGTTATTTAGAATCATAATTTGGTCATTAGGAACAATATCACTGCCTGTAGGCAATATGCATTTTTCTTTAAGTGAAGGAGAAACAGCAGCCTCAAGTTTAATTTTTCTTCTACCTCTTCTTTGATTGTTCTCGCTTGCCATTGCTGTTTTCTGTTTGTAATCTTTGTTTTCCTTTTCATGAAAAAACTCTTCTTTTTGAACCATGCCTTTTCCTCTGACAGAACGTGTCATTATATTATATGTACCAGAATGTTTTGCTAATTTCCCTTTTTCAATGGAATCTTTGCGATTTCCACTTTGATTTTCATCTGCAGAAGATAATGGTGACAAAGTGATGCTCACTTTCAGAGAGGGAGAAACTAGTGATGCAATAGTAGTTTCTTCTCTTTGCTTCTTTGACTGGTGCTTTTTTTCAAAACTATTTTCTAAAGGATCCACTTTATCTGTTACTGGTTCAGTCTTTTTACTGTTAATTCTTAGTTCATCAATCCTTTCTGTTGCAGTTCCGTAAGGTGTTAATTGTTTTCTTTTACTTCTTCTGGATATATTCTGTTTTGCTACATGTTCTAAATCTTTTGTTCTGTTTTCTTGAATGTCATTATCAATCAATTTAGCAATTTTACAGGAAGAAACTGAGCTTGCTGAAATTTCATCATCTGCTTTTCTTCTTCTACATTTATGTGATAAATTCTCATTTGCATTATTTGCAGTTTTCAAACCTTCAGTAGGCTGTTCATCTGAATGTTTCCCTTTGTTTGGTGATAGCAAATGAAAAGTGTCATTTTTGACAGGAGAAAGGGTTTTCTGAAACACAAGAGTGATTTTTCTTCTTCCACTCATTTTTGATTGATTCTCTTTTGCAGGACAAGCATTTTTGCCAACTATATTTTGGTCTTTTATAGCAGTTATCTCTGTACTGTCACAATGTGCAGATATTTCACCAGACATAGTTTGTTTGTGCCTGCCTTGCCTGGGTGGATTTTCTTTCACTGTCCTTTGGCTCTTCAGTGAAGAGGATTCTGGAGCACTCCTTTTCCTTCTTCCTCTTCTGGACTGATTATCCTCTTGGTTGATAACCATATTTGGGTCCTGGACATCAGCTGCCTCATTACTGGAAATTTTATTAACTTGCTTGCTTCTGCCTCTCCTGGGTGGATTTTCTTTTACTACCCTTTTTGGTGGAATATACTTTTCAAGAATTTGCACATTTTCTAATGGCTTCTCTTCAGCTTCCTTTACAGTCTCATCTTGAATTTGTGGCAAAGAATATCCTCCCTGGGCAGACGGGAAGCTGTTTATTGTTGAATCCTCTTCTCCAAAAGCAGTATTTTCCAAAGGAATAGGTTTGGGGAGCATTTGAACCATTTTTCTCCCTCTGCCCCTTTTTGGCTGATTTTCCTCTTTCACATCAAAGGCTGATTTACTGTCACTTTCTATAGAGGGGCTGGAAATGGTTTTTTTGCCTCTACCTCTGCTGGGCAGATACTTTTTTGCTAGCTTTTCTCTTCTGACTGGATTGTGCTCTGCTGGAGTTTGCATGCTTTCCAAGGGAACCTTTGGAATTTCAGTAGAAATGCTTTCAGTTTGAATTTCCAGCATGGATTTCTCTTGGACAAAACTAGAGTTAAATGCAGGCAGATTTGTTTCGGGAGTTACATTTTTAAAAGACACATGTATATCTTGTTTATGGCTGTCTCTGCAGTTCTCTAATGTGCGTTTCTCTTTAAAATAAGACATACAAATTAGTTGTGTTTCAACAGGAACAGCTTTTCTTTTGCAACTTTGTGATGTATTCTCTTTTGGAGAAACAGAGCTTTCAAGAAATGCACTTTCTTCTTCTTCAGGAGCATTATCCTCATATCTAAGTACACATTTTTCTTCAGAAACCTTAAAGTCACTTTTAAGTAGAAAATGAACATTTTTCCCCTTCCCCTTCCTCACTAAATTTTCTTTCGTTACTGTTAGATTATTTGCTGAAGTTTCCGTTTTAATTATTTTGGATACTGTATATTTTTTTCTTCCTTGCTTATGTTCATTAAAAGTTGTGATTAATGTTTCTGGGTTTGATTGTATTACAGCGTTCTTTCCTCTCCTATTTCTTTTAATACTTTCTTCCCCTGACAATGCATTATTAGTTTTACCTTCGTCAAACTTTGTATTCAGGTCACTTGCACTCTTTTTTACATTTCTAGACCTTAGCCATATCTTGGCAGTTAAATCACCTTCATTTTCTGGGGTTGGTCCATTTTCTTCCAAATCCATATTTGCTTCAATTTTTCCATTTCTTTTAGTTGCCACTTTTTTCCTGTTTACAGACTGTTCTTCCACTGTTGTTTCCTTTGAAGGTTTTTGTAATTGCTGAGTATGGCTTATGTTACCAGGTCCTATATTCCCATTTGTTTTAACAGGCAGCTTCTTTGGTCTTCCTCTTTGAGACTGTTTGGTCTTGGTTTCAGTTGTTGTAAAATTGCTTTCAGATTTGTCCATTGGATTTAGTTCTGTTTGGTTGTCAAAACTCTCACTGGTTTGTTCACAGTTAGCTGATCTTGGTCTACGGGTATTCTTTGTAGGCCTCTGAATCTTCTTTGTATATATTGCACAACTGCGGTCATTTATTTTCCTTCTCCTAGTTCTAACCAAAGGAAGTGATTCAAGCTTTTCTGTATCTAATGCATCAGGATTTGCAGCTGCTTCCTTCACAAAATCAGTTTTGGCTTCATTTTTGGAACTCATTCCATCTGGCTTATAGCTTTCAGAGAGATATACTGCTCTAGTTGTTTCTTCGTTGAACTCTGTTTTTAATTCATTAAATGAATTACATGCAACATGACCTACATGTTTCGGAACACTACTACTGTTATTTTTTGTTACTGGAAAATGAGATTCTCTTTCAAATGTAACTTCCAGCTTCACTTTGCAACTTCCAGACACATTTTCCACAGACTCTGAAATAAAGCATGTTCAAATATATTTTTGAGTCATAGTCATTATAAAAAAATTGAAAAGTTTTATTATGAAAAGTTTTGAGCTGATCTTCTAGGTAGCTTTGTCATTTTACTTTGAAGAAACATTTATATAAGTATCTCGGTAATGACAACAATCACAAATAGAAACTTATTTTTATAATAATTTCCTAATATTTATATTCCAAAAGTTGTACTAATTTTAAATTTACAGAGCTCTGCTACAACTTTTTAAAAAATGGTTCTCATTAATTTTCACAGCAGTGAAACAATTTGCATCAAAATTACAATATGAGCAAAAAGAAAAAAGCAAGTCTAGACAAAACTCTTTTGTGTGAATAAAACATAGAACTGTATCTTCATTTACTTATAGTATACCTTCAAAAGAAGATACAAACCACAGACTTTATTGAAATAATATTTACTTACCTAGTTGATTTCTGGAAGTGATATAAGATCCATTTTCTTCCATAAGATTCACAGATTCTGGTAATTCAGCCTATAAGTATTACATAGTTATTAAAATAGCTGACATCAAAATATTTTGCACCTATAAAAATGTTCCAAATCTCCATTAATCAAATATATATATAAAAAATAAATAATAATTGAATGTGTGTGTGTGCGCGCACGCAAATAAATTCCATAAGGATCTAGACAGAATTAGCTGAGTATTTACAGCTGTACAAAGTATTTAAAGAGTAGCCTTTTAAGGACCGAGGTACAACACTCTTACTTGAAGTGATGATGCAGCTGTGTATTTTGTAGGGCTGGGTTCAGGAAACTACTCTCAGCTCAGCACTTTTTCCAAATTATCTGCCTTGAGCATGCATGCAGAGACTATACTTGTATTGGAATTGCAGGAAATCAAAGTAGCTGTGCTTACATATACATGCATAGGCAAAGCAGAGTATTTGAAGCAGCTATGCGGACCCTTCCCAAGGACATACATGTTTACAACAGAGAATGGGTGTTATACAAATTGATATTATATATACTAGAAGATAATAACAAAGATAGGCTATATGTCCGAAGATGAAATATTATAGTTGGCAGTGACATTTTTTAAGTTCTGTGTTTTGCAATACTAAGATCTATAATTAAGAATCCAAAAAAATGATAATATTTTTAGTCTAAAAATTGAAGTAGCCAATTTCCACAAGATCACAATGCTTAGCCCCACTTCCTAAGACCAAATTAACGATCTACTGTCATTTGAATTTCTGGGATCAAACACAAATGACTCTGTGTCACAAAATGTTATTGTGCAAGAAAAATGGATTACATGAATTCTTTAGGTTACTAAAGTGTGGGCTACCTAAATAAAAATGAATACAAATACTTGATATAATAAACTTACATTATGCTCATTTTCAGTGTCCAACATTTCTTTGACACCTGTATAATCTATTGCAGGACTTATGGAGCTTTCTTTAGATTCAGTCATAAACTTCTGCAATTCCAAGTAGTCATCAGTTGGCATAGATTTTGGTTTTGATGTTTTCAATCTCTGACAAATGCCAACCACATTGTTTATGTGTTCAAATCTTTGCTTTTGTGTCATCAACTGAATACTTTCTCCATCTTCTATAGGCTTCACAGTTTCCTTAAATTCTTCAGTAATGTTATTAATATTGGTATCTTCCATAGGATGCATTCTCTGCTTTGTTTTCTTTTTAGTAACACTTCCAACCATGTTTGCTAATACTTCTTCAGTAGATACCACAGATTTAGTATAGACATCATCTACATCCATGTTCTGTTTGGGTGTCTTCAAGATGGTCTTGATTCCTGAAAGCACCTCCACGGGTTCTGATTTTTGCTTGGGTGTCTTCAAGATTCTCTTGACTCCCGAAAGCGCCTCAACAGGTTCATATTTTTGCTTAGGTGTTCTCAAGAGCCTCTTGACTCCTGAAAGTGCTTCAACCGGCTCTGATTTTTGCTTAGGTGTCCTCAAGAGCCTCTTGACCCCTGAAAGTGCTTCGACCGGCTCTGATTTTTGCTTAGGTGTCCTCAAGAGCCTCTTGACCCCTGAAAGCGCCTCAACAGGTTCAGATTTTTGCTTGGGTGTCTTCAAGAGCCTCTTGACTCCTGAAAGTGCTTCAACTGGCTCTGATTTTTGCTTAGGTGTCCTCAAGAGCCTCTTGACCCCTGAAAGCGCCTCAACAGGTTCAGATTTTTGCTTGGGTGTCTTCAAGAGCCTCTTGACTCCTGAAAGTGCTTCAACTGGCTCTGATTTTTGCTTAGGTGTCCTCAAGAGCCTCTTGACCCCTGAAAGCGCCTCAACAGGTTCAGATTTTTGCTTGGGTGTCTTCAAGAGCCTCTTGACTCCTGAAAGTGCTTCAACTGGCTCTGATTTTTGCTTAGGTGTCCTCAAGAGCCTCTTGACTCCTGAAAGTGCCTCAACAGGTTCAGATTTTTGCTTGGGTGTCTTCAAGAGCCTCTTGACTCCTGAAAGTGCTTCAACTGGCTCTGATTTTTGCTTAGGTGTCCTCAAGAGCCTCTTGACTCCTGAAAGTGCCTCAACAGGTTCAGATTTTTGCTTGGGTGTCTTCAAGAGCCTCTTGACTCCTGAAAGTGCTTCCACCGGCTCTGATTTTTGCTTAGGTGTTCTCAAGAGCCTCTTGACCCCTGAAAGTGCCTCAACTGGCTCTGATTTTTGCTTAGGTGTCCTCAAGAGCCTCTTGACCCCTGAAATCACCTCAACAGGTCCAGATTTTTTCTCAGATGTCCTCAAGAGTGTCTTGACCCCTGAAAATGCCTCCACGGATTCCAAGTTTTGCTCAGGTGTCTTCAAGAGTCTCTTGACTCCCAAAAGCAATTTGACTGGCTCTGATTCTTGTTGTAGGTTTTCTTCTTCTATTCCCATTATATTTCTTTCATTTAGTGACACCAATAAATTCTCTTCTTCAATATATTTTTTAATACTTGTTTCTCCATTAGTCATCTTTAAATTACCCTGGTCAGGAATGGATATTTGTGAAACTTCTTCCAAAACTGGGGATGTTACATCTTGATTGTAATGTGTTTTTTGGCTTGAAATGTTGAAATCCAAAACAGACTTTTTTTCTAATACAAGTAAAAAAAATGATACAGTAATGAAACTTCACTGACTATATTAAAGGAAGCACACTTGAATGTGAAGGAATGTTACTTAGAAGAAAGTATTTACTTATTAGACTTTATGTTTTAGAATGAAACAAAAACAGAAAACCAAATTACACCAAGAATGTTAAAAATGAATTAAAGACAAATGAAAGTTAATTATTCTTAATGAAAAACACACATATGGTAACCAGGATTGTGCCTTAAGCAGACTGAATACTTGAAACATGGCAACTCTAAGGAGCAGAAGAACCAGATTCTACAACTGTCTATAATCAGAGGACAGTATACAGTTTATCTATTCTGATAATATTATAAATTGTGAAATCAAATATAGAAACAGTTTTATGCATTTCTTCAAACTGAGACATAAATTAGAAGCCATTAAATGAATGCGTTAAAGTATCTGAACTTGCTAATTATTTCATTCTTTTTTCATAACATAGCTTTACAAGGTAGTGCAAGGAATGACAAATTATGTCCTGTTTTCTTCATTATTACCTTATAAAACTTTATTTGGATTAAACCATATATTTTAATTCAGTATTTACTGAACTTTAATTCAGTATTTACTAACTTGAGGTAGCTCAGTGATTTAATAAAACTCATACAAGTAGTCCTCGCTTAATGACCATTTGTTTAGTGATGGTTCAAAGTTACGACAGCCTTGAAAAAGTGCTTTACGACCTGTACTCACTTCCCACTGTTGCAAACTGTCGCACCAGCCCCCAGTCACATGATCATGATCTGTAACATTTTTATTACAGTTGTTAAGCAAATTATGTGGTTATTATACAAATCACATGGTTGTTAAGCAAATTCCGGCAAAAAACATCCATTGGGGAAGCTGGATTCGTTTAACGACATGATTCACTTAACAACCGTTGAAAAATGGTGGTAAAAATTGGGTCTGGTCATGTGGTGACTCACTTAACAACCATCCCGCTTGACGACCAATTTTCCTGTCCCTATTGCAGTTGTTAAGCAAGGACTACCTGTACATCTATCCATCATTCTCTGCTTTTGCTCATTTTCCTTCAGTAGATTTTCTTCCTACTGAAAGCAGCACAGTAGCTTAAAGCAACACCTGAAATTCTGGTGGGAATGGCAAGAAAAGACTGACCTGAAGCTTCTAAAACACAAGAACAGAGTTCCACACAGCCTTACTAGTCTCAGAGGAGAGAGGACCTGATCTAGAAAAGGCTTCCTTCCATTCTAGAAACCAAAGTTTTTTGATTTGCAGGACCCTATCTTAGGAATGAATGGCAAAGTAATCAACCCTAATCTACCATATGGTCATAATTCAGAATGTATGAAATAACATAATAAAATATACCATAATCTTCTGATGCATTCATTTCTGACATAATTTCTGGTTTTGATGTCAGAGTTTCTGGTACAAAACTTTTCTCTTTTCCAGTTGGTGGAGTGTGGAACATTTCAGCCAACCCTGCAAATAGCATTTAAATCTATTAATGTTCAGTTAGCATGTAATTAAATACAAGACCAAATATAACCATAAAGAATATATCTTTTTCACTTGACTTGTCCCTAGATTTGTAATGCACTCAGATTCCAGCATTATTATTTTCAAACATTAATGTCCATAGCAATTTAAAAGCAAAGAACCTAAGTACATAATTTACCAGGATGAAAATTCCTACAAACCCAAGCTACTCCAGGAGATTGTGGATACTTTCTGCCAAACCACCATCTTAAGAGCAAACTCTACTACAAATTATGATGCAAGTAATTAATTTGCCCAGTAAAATAAACTAAAACTTGTGATTGCTTCTATAGTGATATATCAGTAACTATAAATAGATTTTTATCAATGTGCCCTACACTGTGTGTCCTTCATGAACATTTAACAAAACAAGGAAGAAGAAAAAGTCATCTTCCTTTTCCTCTCTTTTAAGTCTAAGATTTGGCATTGCACTACTGCCTTTATCACTATCAAACACTTATGACTGCTGGAATGGAAATGACAGACTAGGGAACACTTCGTCAACAGCTTTTCCAGCAAAAATAAATAAATAAATAAAAACAAAAGTCTTGTTTAAAGCACCAACTTGGACCTGCTCAATTATGAGCAGTCTGTGCACTTTTCCATGTATAAAAATTAGAAATATGCTGTACTGGGGCAGTGGCTGAGGAGGGAGAAGGAAGATGCTAGGGAGACTGGGGCCAAGTGGGTCTGTGGGATACACTGTGGTGGAAGCTAAAAAACTGGTAGAGGGAATGGCATACACCAGCCTTGCTGTGCTTGTCCCTTTTAGATTCTGTTTCATCTGAAACATGATACAATTGTATTTTGGGTTTTGGTTCTGTTGACCCATGGTTGGCCCAAAACCATTTAGCAGAAACTCTGGAGTCCGGTGGCTTTGTTCTGGGTTCAAAATGAAACCATGTTCCTGTTTTATATACACCTCTAGTGAGGGCAAAAATGTAACACTAAAGAAGAGCAATTTCTATATTGTTTTGAGACTGGAAATAGCAATACAAGCTCCAAAAGTTTAAAGATATTAGAGATATAGATGCAAGAAACAGGTATCAAGAAAGTGTCTCCTGGAACAGAAAAAAATCTTTTAAAAAGTGGGCAGATATTCTCCACCCAGAGCAGAAAAAGAAATTTCAGGCTAAGTCTAACATTCTCTGGCTAGACTCCTTTGAAGGAACCTACAAAATCAATACAAATAGGTTGGGCATTACTTTCTAAGATTTAGAAACAAGGCACTATTTGTTGCAGGACTCTTGTGCCAAATGAGGCATCTGATAACACTTGTGAATTAAGATTGAATTGTCTCACAAAGGAAGAGGCTTAGGACCTTGCTGCTGCTCTTCATATGAACTCTGATGGAAAAGTTGGTTGAGCTGTTCACAGGATGGATCCTCATATATGCAGCTGACTGGGCTCTGTATAAGTGAACTCTGCAATCTCAAATATATCTATCTGTCAACGGGGGGTGGGGGGAGGCTTCAGAAAAGAAACTCTACAAATGAATTTCTTGATGTACAGGTGAAACTCGAAAAATTGGAATATCGTGCAGATGTTCATTTATGTCAGTAAGGCAACTCAAAAG